CAGAGGGGGGCGTACCACATACAGGTGATGTGGTGCATCCGAATGTTTGTATGTAAACAGCCATTGCTGGATGTTTAAAAATGTGATGATGGTGCGCGGGACGGACATTTTAAAATGTCCACACGCATGTGTACATCCACTGAATTCCATGGAACCTTACTATGGCTTACATTGAACGCACTCACCCAGACCCAACTGGACGGAAAGGAGTTTGAGTGGAAATGCTTCTATCCCCACAATGCACTTTTCAAGTTCTGCCTTCACCTCCCTCTCTATCCCTCTTCTCTTTTGAAACACACAGGGTAGCCAGGAAGCGAAGTCATCCAGAAAGCAAGATACGGGTCCAGGTGGCCGGTATATAACAGCAATTATGAGCGAAATTGGAGAGAATAGGCGAATACAACTTTCTCTCCTCAGAAATACCCACTATCATTCTTGGTGACTTTAACATTGCTAATAACGATAACACCCCGACTTCCACTCAATTCCTTAACCTAACCTCTTCTTTTGACCTAACAATGGACACACACTCACTCTGATGGTAACATACTAGATCTTGTCTTCTCTCACCTATGCACTCCTTGCAACTTCTCCAACACCCCTTTCCCGCTCTCTCAGACCACAACCTGGTCAGTTTCACAATCACCCTGTCCCCAACACGGACTCCCCCTACACGTTACACTGTCACCCGGAGAAACCTTCACACCTCGACCCTTCTCTTCTCTACTCTGCTACTGACTACCTCTATGACGCAATCTCACCCCTGTCCTGCCCTGACCTGGCTACTTCTGTCTACAACAGTTCACTCTCATCCTCTCTAGACACTTTGGCTCCCCTCACTACACGCAGACTTCGACCAGGTCCACTACTAACTCACTCACTGCCCAGGACTTTGCCATTCATTTAAAAAACAAAATCGATACAATTCAGGATCAGATCACCACTGTGCAGTCACCTTCCTCAATTCATGTTCCAGACCCTCCATCACACTTGTTATTTTCCTCTTTTGACCCGGTCACCACAGAGGAGGTTACAAAGCTTCTCTCTGACACCCACCTCACCACTTGCCCCCTGGACCCTGTTCCCTCACTACTTCGGTCACCCTCTTACTCTAGCCTTGACTCTCTTACTCACATTTCCAATCTCTCACTCTCTACTGGAATCTTTCCTACCCCTCTCAAACATGCCCTGGTCACCCCAATACCCAAAAAAACATCAATGGACTCTACCGACCTCAACAATCTCAGACCTATCTCCATACGCCCGTTCACCTCCAAACTCCTAGAACGCCTTATCTACAACCGCCTGAGCCGCCACCTCACTGATAACAACCTTCTCCACCCCTTACAGTCCGGCTTTTGCCCCAAACACTCCACTGAAACCGCCCTTCTCAAACTCACTAATGACTTACAGCTAAAAACAATGGCCACTACTCCTTACTCTGACCCCCCGCTGCTTCTTACTCTTGCTATTAGACCTTTCTGTTGCTTTTGACACTGTTGACCACCCGCTGCTCCTCAAAAAACTCCACTCGCTTGGCCTACAAGACTCTGCTCTCTCATGGTTCTCCTCCTACCTATCTAAGCGCTCCTTTAGGGCCTGTTGACACGACGTCCGTTTTCTGTGCTGAACTGATCCGTACGCTCCTGCACTAAAAATGCATCCCAATGTATCCCTATGTGTTTTATGGGCTACAGTTCTCACGTGCGCAGTCCGTTCAGGTTACGACAGAAAAATACTGCATGTCACATTTTGTAAGGTCAGGAAATGGTCCGGAAACGCAAAACTCATCAGAAACGTGTCAAAAACGCACTACACTGCAGCTAACATACTGACAGCCCCACTCCAGCAAAAAATTTTTTTTTTTTTTACTGGAATGCATCAAAAACGCGGCAAAACACATAGCACCGCGTCTGCTGATCAGGACCTGAAACTCATATGAACAGGCCCTTAGTGTCACCTACAATTCTAACTCCTCCCCTCCTTTTCCTCTTTCTGTTGGGGTCCCCAAAGGCTCTGTCGTTGGACCCCTTCTCTTCTCTATCTACACCTCCTCCCTTGGTCTTTGTAACTCCCTCCTCATTGGCTTACCACTACGCAGGCTCCTCCCCCCTTCAGTCTATCATGAATGCAGCCGTCAGACTCATTCACCTAACCAACCGTTCAGTGTCTGCAACCCCCCTCTGCCAATCCCTACACTGGCTTCCATCCCCACTACCCTCTGCCAATCCCTACACTGGCTTCCATCCCCACTCCCCTCTGCCAATCCCTGCACTGGCTTCCAATAGCCCAAAGGATAACATTCAAAATATTATCAACCGCTTACAAAGCCATCCACAACGCTGCCCCAGGATATATCTCAAACCTTATCTCAAAGTATCACCCTAACCGTCCACTCCGCTCTTCAAATAACCTTCTGCTTTCCAGCTCCCTTATCAACTCCTTCCATGCTCGCCTCCAGGACTTCACTAGATTCTCTCCCATCCTATGGAACTCTCTACCCCAATCTGTACATCCATCTCTGACTGCCTTTAGGCGATCCCTTAAGACTCATCTCTTCAGGAACGCCTATCCCAGCTCAACCTAACCACTGAACCATCACATTCTCAAACAATTCATCCCCACACAGCTACCTCCTCATGTATCACTTCCCCCTTCCTTTTAGATTGTAAGCCCTCAGGGGCAGGGCCCTCCTTACCATCTTGTCTTGAATTGTATTGTAATATCTTCATTATATTGTAATGCGCTGCGCAAACTGTTGGCACTATATAAATCCTGTATAATAATAATAACAATAACCCGTATGCACCACTTGTGGTTTCCTGCAGCAGTTGTCTGCATTCAGGGTTGTATGTCAGCAAGCATATGTGTGTGTAAGTACTGGTCTATACCTGCGTACAGCCATTTCTATGGGAGGCTGTATGCAGCACCTGTTTCTTGGTGGGGGAAATAAGCAGGAATTAAAATTCTACGGTTCAGATGCCAGTGTAGATGAGCTCCAATAATATGTAGGTCACAGCGTGGATGAGCCCCAGTAATATGTAGGTCACAGTGCAGAGCATGCAGTATCCTGCAGAGTTCTCCGTGTATAATGCAGCAGAAAGAACTATGGGGGGAATTTTTCCAAACTGGAGCAGATTTGCACTGCAGCCAATCAGCTTCTCTGTCTCATTTTCAAATCTTGCCTGAGCAAACTGAAGAGAGATGCTGATTGGTTGTCATTGGCAACTGCTCCAGATTCTGTTTGCTCCAGTTATAGTAAATTCTCCTCTCTATATCTGGCAAAGAGCCGGTCACATGACTTTTACAGGTTCTGTGACTGGGTTCTCTGGTCAGCTTCCTCTTTACAAATTCATTTCTATATATAATTTTTTTGTTAATATCACATTTTACTTTATAAATCAGCCCCATAGAGCTAAATCAAAATATGAACCCTAAAATCATTCCTTTACCTCAGACTTGCCTTGGAATGCTTACTATGTGCAACTGGCATTTACATATACATGTGTGTCCTAGGTCCACATCTGTCTGTGTATGTGTGTGAAGGGGGAGTCCTTCTTCATTTATTTTTCTTGCTTATGATATTTTTTTTAACATATGACTCTTATGTAATAGTAAGTGCAGATGACAGGTCCTCTTTATGAATCCGTAATGCCTGCCCTGTAATGAGCCCAAGCAGATGGGTTGTTTGTCTTCTAAAAAAAAAGTTTGTATTCAAACTCGAGCTCAATGCAAGTCTATGGGGGTAGAACATTAAAAATCAAATGTCCCCATTTTGAAGCCTTATATGCAATTTACTGGCCATAAAAAGGTGTATGTGGATCCGGGTACTGCCCTGGGGGACAGGAATCAATGACAAAAACACTTTTTAAAAATACAGTTTTTAAAGAAGCAGTGATTTTAATATCACTTAAAGGGTAACACAAAAATTTAAAAAAATCCTTTAAATAACCTGCTGCACCAAAACTGACATTTCTAAAACAAAAAAGACTTTTTTTTTTTATTTAAAGCGTGCGCTCACATCAGGGTACCCTTTTAATAAAGGGGCACCCAGATGCCATCCCCCTCCTTATGAATGAGTAAGGGGTACTTGTACTCCTACCCATTCACTAAAGGATTAAATAAAAGTTTTAAAAAAGAGGCCAGACCTTAATAAAAATCCTTTATTTGAAAAAAAACCAAAAGACCAAAAGACAAGTTTTTGGCAAGTCTTTTATTTAAAAATAAAGAAAATGGATCCACTGCCGTAATCTAGTGTCAATCACGATGGCCAGCGTTGTCCATGACGACGATTCAACGAAAAAGAAATGTAAAAAATAGAAATAAAAAAACAAACGACCGCCATCCCATCACTGCAACGAACACCCGCCGCAGAATGGCATATGACAGATGCCGGCAACTAATAAACAATTGGGCGGAGCTAGCAGTGACAGCTAGCTCCGCCCAACTGTTTAAGGTTGTAACAGGTGTTCCATGTTTGGGCAGAGTCTTGCACCTAACCTGTGGTCAGGGGCAAGGCTTTAGCCAATCAGGGCTCACAAGGCACAGTGCCTTGTGCGGGGGTGGGCGAATAGCCCGCCAAATGCTATGACAGGCAGTGTGTGATTGGCTGTTAGGAAATGGAGAGAAAAGCAGCCAATGAGATGATGACCTAAAGATGTCACACCTGATTGGTGAATCTATTTGTCAGGACATCCAATCAGTGATGAGATCCTCCGTCCAGTGTTGGAATGTGAGTCGGTGACCCCATTCTGGGGTGTCACTGGGAGCCGGGCGTCTTATTCTCACATACTGGGGATTTGTATCCGAGTTTCCATTAGAAAGAAGTTTTCTGCCATAGAGGAGTGATATATATCTGTAGTACCGGCAGCGTCATTATAAGGAGAGCGCTGTGCTGTATATGTACGCTCCGTGTATACACATCTATCCCCCAATATCATCACATATTACATACATGACACGCTCTGCTCCCGTGTAACATCTTCCTGTACTGTCTGCAGGGATCCATATCTTCCAGAGGATGTACAGCTGTGAGCTGAGAGATGACGGCACCACTGACGGGTATTATCAACTCGGATATGACGGGAAAGAGTTCATGTATCTGGACACAAAGAGAGCTCTATGGATGCCGACCATGACCGAGGCTCAGATCTCCACACAGAGATGGAACAGTCCGGAGGAGAGAGCGGGGGAGAGACAGAAGAATTATGTGGAGAATATCTGTATAGAATGGCTGAAGACACATATCAACAACGGGAAAGAAGATCTGGAGAAGAGAGGTGACTGATCTATATACATCATACATGTTCTATCTACACACATCATATATGTTCTATCTACACACTGCATACATCATATATGTTCTATCTACACACTGCATACATCATATATGTTCTATCTACACAATATATACATCATATATGTTCTATCTACACAATGTATACATCATGTATGTTCTATCTACACACTATATACATCATATATGTTTCTATCTACACACTGTTAACCTCATATATGTCAGGGCTCAAAATTTCCACTCGCCTGCTCGCATTTTGCGAGTAAAAATAAGGTGAGGAGGAAATTTGGGTCTCCAAGTACCGGCTCGCGGCCCAACTCCGGCCTGAAAGAATATGTGAGCAGGATCGATGCCTGGTTATCTGGGGGTGATAGTGAGGTCTGCTGCAGACCTCTGTAATCACTCACAGATAAACCAGGAATCGATCCTGCTCACAGCCTCCTCCCTGCAAAGACGTGAACAGGTGAGGGGGCTGGGGGGGATGGGGTTGAGTGTATTATCATTTTGTGTGTGGGGGTCAATAAGGTGCATTTTTTTATTTGTTCTTGAAACAGTCCCATTTCTGGTCCTAATTGGGAAAACTTATTTGATAAACTCAATCTATTTCACCCACTATATTACGTAGTTTATCAAAGTTCGCCTTCCTGAAGTTTAAGCTTCTTGTCCGCCCATCCCCCTTCCCTTTCTTGCAACCAATATTGAAAGCAATCACCTTGTGATCACTATTGCCCAATGTCTCCCCGATTACAACATCCTCAATTAGCTCCGTATTGTTGGTGATGATCAGATCTAGGATTGCATTTTCCCTGGTCGGGACCTCAACCATCTGATCCATGAAATTGTCTCGCAACATATTAAGAAAACGGGCTGCCTTAGCCGATTTGGAAGTTCCATGTGCCCAGTTGATATTTGGGTAATTGAAGTCTCCCATTATCACAACATTACCCTCTTTCCCCGCTATTTCTATTTGCGATTGTAGGTGGGCCTCCCCCTCCTCCACCATATTTGGAGGTTTATAACAGACACCCATAATAAGTTTACGGTTAGGGGTAGGGCTCGTTCTATCGAGTTCTATCCATAACGATTCCACACCATCTCCACCGGCTGACGCGATATCGTCACAGATGTGAATATTGAGGTTATTTTTAGCATATATACATACACCCCCCCCCCTTCTTGCCAGCCTGTCCCTCCTGAACAGGTTGTACCCTTCTATGTTAGTAGCCCAATCATGTGTGTCGTCTAACCATGTTTCTGCTATTCCTACTATATCATAGTCCTCCTCTAGTAACATAACTTCAAGGTCATCTATTTTATTTATGAGACTTCTAGCATTGGTGAACATACATTTAATTTTTGTACATTTACTGGTTAAATGTTTGATCCCCGCCTGCTCCCCACTACTGATTTTATATCTCCCTTTTATGGTTGGTCCATTCCTACTTTGGTTACCCTGGGCAATTGGATTTACTTTACTGGCTACATCTTGTATGCTCTCTATATTTGCTTGATTTACTACTTTTACTATGTCGACTCTGTTGACTGGAGTGAGCTCACTATCTAATCCAGTGTTTTTTCCTTCTATGTTATCTGTCATGGTAGGTTGTTTAGTGTTTATTTTTACCATTATCTAGTTTAAAAGCTCCTCCAGTCTTTTAACCATTCCCCCCCCCCAGAAATGCTGCATATTCTGACTCCGATCGTTGTGATAGCGAAATATATCCCTTGCTGAGACCTCCTATGCCTGGCCTGTATAAGTAGTTCTGGTGACAAGGGTTTTAACTTCAGGACGAACCTCTGGATCTTTGTCAGGTTCTAGAAGACTGAAGACATCAGCTGTGGTTTCTTCTGGATCATCCAGCAGGAATTCAGGACCTGTTAACCAAGAAGAATTTGCAAAGACACTGGCAGACACAGGCCTGGTGCCATGATCTGCAGGATTCATTTCAGATGGAACATAATGCCATTGTTCAGGTTTAGATTTTCTTATTCTTTCTACACGGTTGCTGACGTAGACGTAGAAACGTTTATTCTGGTTGTATATGTATCCCAGAACAACTTTGCTGTCTGTGTAGAATTTGATGTCATCTATCTGAATGTCTCGCTCACACAGTATGAAATCTGCAATTTCTACAGCTAGCACAGTCCCACAAAGTTCAAGCCTAGGAATTGTGTGTTCAGGCTTGGGTGCTAACTTAGCTTTCCCAAACAGAAACCCTATGTGGGTGTGATTAGAAGAGTCTTTCACCTTGAGGTGGGCAGCAGCTGCTATGGCCTCGGTAGATGCATCTGAGTTCCCCTCTCTCTCTCTCCCCTCTCTCTCTCTCTCTCTCTCTCTCTTGTTCTTATTATTTCCTTGTGAATGTGTAAACATTCTGAGATGTAGGAGTGTAGAGGGAAGAGAGAGAGACTGTATGAATTTTAGCGAATGTTGAAAAGTTCATGTTTTATTCCTTCTAGTTCTCGGTACCTCCGGGCTCTTTGCTTGTTGCCGTGGCAGCCTTAGAATAATCAGCCCGCGAAGCGTCATTACCTTGAATTACATCTTGACCTGAACTTGCATCTGTCGTACTTGTACTTCACATCCACGCTCTCACTATTCAACAATTCCTCGATTCTTTGTATCTTACAATATGTAAACATTGTTATTAAAGAGAAAAAACTATTTAAAAAAAAATGCTGGGAGGGATTTTTGTCAGAGGACCAGTCTCCCTCGAACCCCTCCCCAGCAGTTTTATATTTTCTGTGTACACTATGACTATACGCACCACGCAGTGTGCACAGTCAGTTCATGGCATCTCTAAGATGCTGTGAATAGACCAGATGCTACCCCTGTGTTCAGGAGTCGCAGCATCAGTGGCCACGCAATGGCCAAAGGGGACTAGAGAGAACCCGGAAGTGTCGGCAGGGGACATCGCTGAGGACCAGAGGATGATCCCACAGCGCTGGAGAAGGGCACACTTGTAAGGTAAGTGTCCGTAGGGCCCAGTCACACCATATGCAGGGTGGTTCGAGCCTCGAACGCATTGGATCGCATAGATCAAGCTGGGCAGCGGTACAGCAATGCCCTCCATTCCAGTGCAGTGCGATCGGAAAAAATAGTGCAGCATTTTTTTCCGATACTACTGCACTGGAATGAAGGGCCTGTGCCTCGAATTCCGGTGCGGGTTATTGCACTACGGGCAGGGGGTGTATCTCTGGTGCCATTGAAATGAATGGCACTGATACACCACATCCCGCCCCAGAACGCTGCTTGGTGATCTCTGAAGTGGTGCTGACACTTTCCTTCCTTCTGGAGGGTGGCTACTTTTGTTCCCCGATCCCTGTGTGTGCTACAGGGGAGGGGCTGTATGCCCACCTCCCCGCTCCGATTCGCCAGCGCTGACTGGCGGAACGGACGGGGGAGGGGGCGTGTACAGCTGGCTCTGCCTCTAGATAGGCAGAGCCAGCTGTCACTCACGCAGCTGGGCGGATCTCAACATCGATGTCGGGATCCACTGCGGCGTCCCAGTATACCGTGAGCTGTAGCTTGCGGTATACTGAGCTTAGGGTAACGGGAGGACGCTAGTTTGTGTCCTCCCGTTACCCTAAGGAGAACTATGGGGAAAAGCCCTGACCCCATAGTTCTCCTTTAATACAAATCAGTAAACTAAACGTGAGATTGTAGTCCATCACGGGAGCGAGCTTGGAGCGGTGACTACTTTACAACACACACAGGGACCATGGAGAACAAAAGTAGTCACCCCCCCCAGAAAGTTTACCCAAAGGAGGGAGAGAGAATCTGCAGAAGCCATAGAATTGCACCAGCGATCCAACATCGGGGCTGCAATGCTTTACTGCACGGGGAAGCAAACCTCCAGTGGGGCTGGAACTATAAATCACATGAGGCATTGGAAGATTCTCACAGCCACAGACATGACTCCCGAAGAGAGATGTATCATGGGATTTGTAGTTTCACCACAGCCGGAGGGCAGCTACACCTGCTTTACTGGCTCAAATGAAAGGAAAAAAAATATGAAGAGTATGAATCATTTTTTTTTCTAATATGAAGAACTGCACATTGATTATTTCTTATAAGGTCCAAGCTTCACATTCAGTTTAATGTTGGATATTTTTGGTGTCTTCTGGCAGTTAAATACTGCGATTGGAAAGGAAGGTCTCCATGTCTAGATTGATTGCGTGGGATGGCCGGGTCATGCCATGTGTATGAGGGAGAGGTATATCAGTGACAGGACATTGATTTATGATCTGTGATAGGGTGTAGGTGACATATTAATGGATCCGTGTCCCTCTGTGTGTGTTTCCTCTCCCCAGACACGCACACAGCTTAGTTTGGAGTTTCTTTGGCTCAGCTGTTCCAGGCTCCGGCTCGCCTCTGATTGCTGCTAATTAGTTTTGTAGGAAGCATATAAGAGGCTGTGTGAACGGGCAAATATCCTGATATATAGTGTGGCACCCTGAGATGCCAAGGTCCCGGGGCTTTGTGCATTTTAGTAGAAGAGAACAAGGTTACAAAGTCACATTCCAGGCGCCGATCCATGGAGCGAAGGCACGCAGGTTTCTGTTAATGTTAAAAAGATTACTCCTTGGCCGATTAGCTGCGGCGTTTGGTATACGGATATTTCCTTCTGTAACTCTCACTCCGGAGCTTTTCAGAGGGACTGGCATTCCTTGGATGTTTTAGGGGTATAATGAGCAGTGTGCGAGGAATATTTAGCAGGTTCTTTGTGCGTTCGCTTTTACAGAGGATCGTTTTTTGCCACACCATTTAATCCAGTAATGTGTTCATTGGAGGAGG